CTGCCATCAAAGCTGGGGACCCAGAGACCTCTCCTCAGTACACTCCCTGCCCTTCAACCCACATTTCACAGTCAGCTTCCTCAGAACCCAGCTTGCAGTACCTCATGTGTCCTATATCAGCGGTTGCCAATTGGTGGTCCACAGACCAATGGTGGTCCATGAGTTCTGAAAGGTTGGTGACCTCTGTCATATATGACATGTCTGAATAGATATTCAGAGCAGCTGTCTGGAGCAGGGACCCCCCCCATTCTCCTGAATCTCCCCCCTCCCCATCTGCTTCTGCTCCACACACACTGTGCCTCTTGGTCCATAGCGTGTAGTTTCCTTCAGGAGCCTCACAGACTTCTTGCCACACGAGTGCTGATGTCTGAAAGGGCGTTGGCTGGCATCCCCTTAGCCGCGCTGTCTTCTTCGCAGAGGGCAGGCAGAGAGACCCCGCACTGCACAGCCTCCAAGGAGTCCCAGCAGAAGTAGAGACACTGACCGGATGGCTCCGGCCACTCCTGGCAGGCCCTGTTTGATGCGTTCCCACTACAGAAATCGGTATTTCCCGGCATACCACTGACCTATCTCTGCTGCATGAAGCTCTGTCAAACCCACAGCCCGTGAGCTGCTTTTCCTTTATGTCTTTCTTGAGGACCCTGTTCACAGCATCCGGTAGCAGCATCGCTTGATGTAAAGGGAGGGTAGTCCCTATCTCCTAAACGATGTTGAACAGTTTAGTGACTACTGCCCACCAGGTCGCCAGGGCATGCCATCCATAATTAGTACCAGGTAAAAGGTGCTGTGCGGACCCGTACTGTCCAGCAGAGTGTTCTGTGAGGACAGAACTGTTCTGTGTCTGCATGTCCTTTCCAGTGGCCCTGGGGGCACAGAGAAATGGAGATGGGGCTAGTGCAGCGGGAGGGTAGATGTTGGCTTTAATTTAGTTTCAATCAGTTGGGAAAGTCACACGTGGCACTTTGTTGAAGAGCACACATGTAGACTCAGAAATGGAAAGTGAAAACTTAAAATCACTTCATCCCAACTTTAAGGTTTTCTGGGTCCATTTCTCTCAGTTTGCCTGGAGTTTATTGTAACTTGGAGACTTTGTGTTCTTCTAGATCCTCTCTAAGAACCAGATAGGTTCTCCCAACAGCTTCCAAGAACTTCACCTTCACACTTCACCAGCCAGAGACATGCACACTTAAGCAGCTGTTTCTGAGTCCTCTCATTTTTTTTTTTCATGGCAAGTGGCCCTCAAGCCCTATCCTCAGTTCTTATACTTCCACCCCATCCCCAGTGACACATTTGGTTTGAAATCTTTGCAGATACTTCTGGAAAATTAAAATAAATCACACCTGCAGGTTCCCAGGCCAACGTATCCAAAATACATATGCTGGTTGGACATGACTTGCCCACGTGCAGATGACCGTGTTGTGTTGGTGAGTTACCAGTATTTTTGTTTGCTGTGTTAAGTGATGTTGCCCCTTATAAGTCCCACGTCCTTGGGAACCAAGCTGGGTGCATTGGCTCCTCTTGGTCCCTGCAATTCTCCATCACTGGCACAGCAGCCATTTCAAATACAAAACACATTTTTGTCAACAGTTGCTTGGCTTTCTTTCTTGAGGTTCTCAGGTAAGGGCCTTACTTGATGGGACCCCATTGAATGCTTCCTGAGAGTCGAACACCGGTTATCTGGCCCCTCCAATGCTCCCACCTCAAAGCCTCCTTTAGGAAAGGGAACCTCCCTCACCTGCTCTTTATTTTATTTTTTTAAAATATATTTTATTGATTTTTTACAGAGAGAAAGGGAGAGGGATAGAAAGTCAGAAATATTAATGAGAGAGAAACATCAATCAGCCGCCTCTTGCATACCCCCTACTGGGGATGTGCCCGCAAATCAAGGTATATACCCTTGACCGGAATTGAACCTGGGACACTTGAGTCAGCAGGCCGACGCTCTATCCACTGAGCCAAACCGGTTTCGGCTCACTTGTTCTTTAGTAGAGAGCTGGCAAGACTGACATGTCAGGTAACTCCGACTCCGAAGAAGCAGCAGAATGAAGCAGCTTCATCAAAGGCTTCTGGAGCTAGCTGCCAAGGGTTCAAATCCCACCTCTCCACCAATGTGGCTTTGGGCAAGTTATCCCCTCTGTCAAATGGGGGTAATGGAAGTCCATCTCCCCTGGGGTCCTTATAAGACCAAAGCAAGTTGGTGTACAGAAAGCATTTATTTACAGCAGCACTTGCCGCGAAGTACTAAGTGCTACGTAGTATGAGCCATTTTCATTACCACAAGCAAGCCATTCTTCATTGGGTTGTTTCTGGCAAACATTTTTTTGTTTGTTTGTTTGTTTTGTTTTGTTTTTCTCTCTGGAAATAACTCAGGTTTTCTTTAAAGCCTGCTTTTGGCCCTAGCCAGTTTGGTTTAGTGGATAGGGCATCTGCCTATGGACTGAAGGGTCCCTGGTTCCATTCTGGTTAAGGGCACAAACCTCAGTTGCAGGCTCCTCCCTGTCCTGGGGCCCTGGTCAGGGCTTGTACAGGAGGCAACTAATGGATGCCTTTCTCTCGCGCCAATGTTTCTCTCTTTCTTTCCCTCTCTCTTCCATTTTCCCTAAAAATCAATGGAAAAATATCCTTGGGTGAGGATTAACTAACTAAATAAAGCCGCTTCATTCCCAACTTTCACCAAGTCTGTCGTACACCCCAGTCTTCTCTGTTCTCCCACTTATTCCCAACTAGGCAGCAGAAGGAGCTCTTTCCCGGAATCTTGTTTAATTGGCATTTTGGGGCACACACTTTCCAGAGTTTATAATAATATACTTCAAAAGTTTTCAATTTATGAACACCTGCCTTCATCTTCTTTCATTCTAAAGCGAAATAGATGATCATCACCTTTCCTTCCAATTCAGCCCCGTGAAATCTCACTTTTCCTTTTTTTTCCATCCCAGCTCCAGACTTCCCTTTGGGAGTGGGGTGGGCTGTTGTGGGGTCCAGGACTGAAGAGCTAGTGTTCTCCATGTCCAGTTGGGCCCCTGGAGGAAGCAGAACTAGGGAGAGAGCTGGGAAGGCGGAGACATCACAAAGACAAATGCACTTTATTGATAAGGCAACAGCATCAGAAGGGATGAGGCAGAGACCTCATCTGGCCAGGGCCACCCTGGGGGTGGGGGTTCTGATTCACATTGAGACACAGGCTGAGCTGTCCCCCACCTCCTGAGGGGTCAGTGGGGTGACAACCCAGGGAAGGGAGGCAGGGGTTTGGGATCTAGACTTGCTCTGTCTAAAATCCAGCACTTCCCCCAAAGGATTGGGTTGGCCACTGCGGGGGATGGGCAATGGGGTCTGAGCTCAAGCATGATGTAGTGAAAAGAGCACTGGACCTTAAGTCCAAAGTCGGGGTCCAGTCCTGGCGCTGCTTCTAACTAGCTATATGAGTTGGGGTGAGTCATGCCCTCCTCTAAGCGGCAGGAGGAGGCTGAGCGATGTTAGCGGTTTTCAAATTTTTTCTCCCACAGAACAGCAAAAGCTGGACCAATGTGTTTTGCAGCTAACAAATCAAATAACAAGGGTTTTCCCCAAAACTCACAAAACAACAACAATAACAACAATAATTACTGTATAGAATTTTCACAATAGAAGTTCTCCCCCCATAAATATCTCTTAATCAGTGGTGCCTACTACCCGCTACATTAAGGGTGCAATACGAAATGGAGACTGATTCCAAAAACAACTCACATCTAACAGACACAAGGTTTGGCCACAGGGATGGCACTCTGCAGCGAGGACTGTGGCTGCCAGGTGCTCCCCCCTGAGGAATCACTGGGCACCGCCGGCTCTGGCTGTGGGAAGTCGGGTCGCTCCCAGCATTCTCAGGGCTCACAGATGCAGGTGGAAAGGTATCCTACTGACATGAACTCCTCCGGATTGAGACGTAGAATATGGCTGTGTCCACCGAACTCAAAAGACTCTCTGAAGGACCCTCTGGGGCTCCTGCGAGAACCCTTTACGGTGGTCCCACACACCTACACTGAGGAACCCCACCTCAGAGTAAATGGGCCTAGAGTTCCCACCTCTTGGGCTGCGCAGGCTATGAAGAACACAGAGTTTGAAGTTATGTACCCGACCCCCACCCTGCCTACCGGGCTCCTTATGACTTTGGGGGGCGGGAGGGAGAGTGGAGCGAGAATCAGAGGGGAACCAGCCCCACACAACTTCACCCCTAAATGCTCTCTGTCTAGGCACAGAGGCCAATCATTCTCCCAGCACCTGCATCCTGAGGTCTCAGAGCACAGCAACTGGGCCTCCTGGGGGGGATGGCTGCCTGGAGAATGACAGCTAGGTGGGCAGGGAGAGTGTGACTTAGGCTGCTGGGGTCTGGAAGGTCTTCACCTCCATCCCACCCACCAGGTGGAAAGGATGCGGCCCCCACTGGTAACAGAGTGGGCACTGCTTCTCTTGACTATGGGGTGGTTGGGAGAGTGGGGGGATCTTTGGGTCATCCTTGGCCATCCTAGGGTGAGACCCCACCAGTACCCGTGGCCACAGGGGGGAGGCCCGGGAGCTCACAGTAGATTCTCTCTCTGGGGTGGGAGGTAAGGCACTGGCAGGGAGGGTGAGGACGGTGCCTGGTGCTTCCTTGCAACCTAAGGGCAACTTAGTCCTGCCACATGGATTGTAGCAAGGAGAGCTCCTGCCTCAACTAACCTCTTAGGTCCAGGCTGAGGAGCCAGGGGACTGGTGGCAGGGACAGCTGGGGCTACCATCCACGACTCTTCTGTGAGGCAGGCAGGGTTAGCCTGTGCCTACCAACCGGACCCTGCTTTCTTCCCTCCTTGGCTCTCTCGGCAGGTGGGTTCTGGGCCAGTGGCCCAGCCATGGGGAGAAAGCTCCCTCACCATAGCTACCTCCAAGGAGAATGTTACCATGGTGATGGGATGAAAGTGGGCTCTGAGGGAAAGGCAAGTGCACTTTGGCCAGCAGAGATGGGTGAGGGGGTGGGGAGATCGGGGACCTCAGTCACCGTGTTTTTGGTCATTCTTGGCAGTGAGTATCCTAGACAGGCCAGGGATGGGAAGACAGAGGGAGAAGGCCCCATCATGGCATGCTGCCCTGAGACAGAGCAGCACAGACCGGTGGCAGGATGAGGAGGGGATACAGAGGGGGTTGTGGTCATGGGGGTGCAGGGAGGGAGATCCCCACTGGGCTCTGGACCCGTGGAGCTGAATCGGGGGGAGGTATGGGTATCTGTCCCTGAGGAATGGGTGTGTTTTTCCTGCCCACCTGTTTCTCCTTTCGTAACCCTGGGCACCAGCCAGCAGCCACTTCTGTAATGGTGGGGGCATTCCCAGGTGAGGCCCTGCCTTCAGCCTCTGCCCTCTGCCCCGACTTGAGTCTCTCTGTCAAGTACACAGCAAGTCCTCATAACTGAGGTCTTAAGGGACGGGGGTCAGCCTGTGGCCTGTAGGTATCGGGGACCTGGTGTTAGGTTGGGCAGGGAGAAAAGGTGGGAGAGGAGGGGCCATACTTGAGAGTGGGTGGGAAGGGCAGCCATCCCCAGGCCCGGTCACGCAGCCCTATGGGAGCAGCCCCGCCCAGCCGCCACCAGAGGCTGCCATAGTCAAGAGATCTCATTGCCAAACACCTCCAGCACCAGAGGCGTGAGCTTCATGCTGCACTCGGGCTGGAAGGAGAGGCTGCGGTACTGCTTGGAGTGCTCCTCGTTGAGGCTACGCAGGTCAGCCAGCTTCTGGATCATCTTGGCGTAGAGCTGGTGGCTGCCTGGGGGTGGGTGGCGGCAGCGGATGTAAGTCTGCAGGGTGTTGGACAGGCGGTCCTGGATAGCCTCGATCAGCGCAGCATCCTGCACTCCGGGACGGTCTGTAGGCACAGGGAGACAGGAGGCAGAGGTACAGGAGCTCTGAGCTGGGTCCTTACTATTCAACCTCCCCACCACCCCTCGGTCCACACAGACAGACACCCAACTTCAGCATCCTCCTAGGTCACCCCTGTGTATGACTACTGACCTGTGACATCCCAGTCCTTAAAGCCCCTTAACCACTTCCTACTGCATTTAGGATCAAGCTGCAGGTAATTTTATGGGCCCCTCTGGTCCCGTCCCTCTATCTTTACAGTCTTTGGCCTTCCGATACACATTTATGTTCCCTCGACCTGGAACTCAACTCTTTATCATTGCCTGACTCTTACTGATCCTTCAAGGTAACAGTTTAAAAGACTTTCAAGAAAGCCATTCCTGATAACTCCCTACCTCCATGCTCTAGACTACATCAGGCTCCCTCCTTTTATTATACCCATCTGTAGTGTCACACACTTCTTTATTTTTTAAAACTCTCATCACATTAGAAATTAGTTGTTAAATAGTATTTGTTTCGTGTGTTCTCTTACATTTCATGGGAGGCAAACCGTGTTTGCTGCTGAATCCCTATGCCCAGTAGAGTACTTAGTACCTGGTAGGTGCTCAATAAATCATAGCTGAGTGTATGTATGAATGAATGAATGAGTGAATGCTGGCTGAAAAGAGGAGGGGAGCCCAGATTCATTCCTTGGTTCCCCAGCCTAGGAAAGCATCCCTGGGTAGAAGTCACTTACTTGTTCCCTGAGTAGAGTCCAGGCTGAGACAGGGCTGCACCGCTTTGGGCCTCATCACCAAATATAGCATCCTTAGGACCTCACTAACCTCCTCCTCAGCCCCTCTCCCTCTTCCCATCCCAACAGGTAGAAGAATTCATGGATCACATCACATTGCTTCCAAAATTAGTCAGGTACACTGTCTAGGTAGAACCATTCATGGTTCCCAGGTGTTTTGTTTGTTTGTTTGTTTGTTTGTTTGTGTTGGTTTTTTTTTTTTTTTTTTTTTTTTTTTTTTTTTTTTTTTTTTTTATCCTGCTCCCCTCGGAGAGCTCAGTGTCAATGAAGTTCGGTGCTATTCACACAAGAGCAAACCCTGAATATTGGGACTATCCAGGATTGTCTGTGGTCTGTGAAGCCCCATCTACCTGCTCCCAAGAATCCCACCTATGAATCACTAAAAGCCTCATTAGGTAAGGCCAAAGACAGTGGGGAGTCCCTCAGTATACAAACACCATATTAGCTTTGCAAACCCAGCAAAAATGGTTGTTTCCTGGTCTGTCTGTTTAAAATTTGCTCACTCCTCTCTTAGGACTGCCATGCTGGCTCTCATCAGGGCTTCATTTTTCATATTCCCCATGTCCCAGGCCCCTGAGTTCCTCATCACTAGGCCTCCTACCTGGGGAGACGATGCAGATGGCCATGAGCAGGACATGCTCTTCCTCATGCAAGTTCAGTTTCTTTAAACCGACCTGGAACTTGATGAGCGGCTCAATCAGTTCCAGGCTGTGTCCAGCTATGAGAGAGAATGGTCAGATGCTGGGGGCCGAACTGAGGAGACACCCATTGCACCCCACCCCACCCCACCCCACCTCCAACCCTGACCAGGCCTGACCCTTGCCTTTCTCTCCTTGTTGCTGCCTGAGCAGGGCCCATGACCCCAGAATGGGTGAATCCAGAGTCGGGGAGCTAAGAGAGGGTGGAGACAGAGCCCAGACATACCTTTGGCCACATCACTGATGCGGTACTTGTAGTCCTCGTTCCCACAGGTCCAGGACATGTCGTCCATGGTGAAGGACTGATTGGAGCGTAACATGATGACTTCGATGGCACTTGACTTCAGCAGCACAATCTGGTCCTCAGCAGTCAGATCTCTGCCGGGGAGGGTAGAGGTGAAGGTTAGATCTGCAAGTCATGCAAATCAGTGTACGGTTTTGTCAGGTCTATACCTGCCAGGTGACCAGTATGTGCCCTGGATCCTCCATTGAGGAGCTTAAATCCTGGTTGGAATAACAGGATAAGAAATCAGCTACTAAAAACAAATAAACAAACAAACAAAAAAAAACAAGATAAGAAATGAAGTAACTTAGCTATTAAAAAAAAAAAAAAAAAAAAAAAAAAAAAAAAAAAGGAAAACCCAGTGACTTGCCAGAGTCTCCTGGTTCTAATCAGCCAGAGGTATTTTAGGAACAGGAGGATAGAACCTGAGGAAGCTCCCAGGGTTATGACATGAATATGTGGTCTACAAATGTATGGCCGGAATCATCTTCAACAGCTCCCATGCTTTTCCCCACTCTCCTGTCCTCCATTCCTTCCTGGTAGTAAAGGTCAGCCAACTTTGTCTCTAGGACATCTCTGGAACCCTTGTCCTCATTCTCACTCCCAGGTGATGGTTATAGCTCCATCATTTTTTTAGTTGTATCCTACTAGAATTCTGGAGTCAAAACCCTCGTGTCTCTCATTCATCTTTCTCACTGCTGCTACAGGAAGTATCACACTCCTGTGTTTAGAAATCCTCACTGATTATCAAATACCCAGGATCAAGCTTGTACTCTACAAGTTGTCTCCAACCTGTCTTTCCAGCCTGTTTCCCATTGCAAATCCCACCAACCCTCCATTCGAACAACTGTGGACCACTCCACATTCCGATGCTGTGTTCTCACACCACCATACCTCTGAGCATGTGACAGTGCAGCCAAAACTTCCCTTCTTATTTCCCCCTATCTGATCCTCCTGATCCTATATCTGATGAGGTCTCCCTTGGAGTCCTCCACCCTCTGATTCTCTTCAATATAATTGGAGACATCCCCTTAGAACCCCCTGCACAGTGCTTGTACTCCTATTTTGTCCTTTTCCCTTTAGCTTTGTTTTTTATATGCCTTATCTGGACCTTAGCTGTAAGCTACTTGAAGGCCAGCACCACCTCTTTATTACCCACACACTGATCACTTAGCCGTGAGCACAAGAGAAGGTCAACAAATATGTTCTAATGGATCAAAAGTCCAATGACTCGTTCCACTATTCTGCATCATGAGCTGGGCTTGTCTGAGCAATGACAATAAGAAAGCAGAGCTTGCAGATAAAATTACTTCTGGTTTTTCCTGCCCTCTCTTCCTGACTGGATATCCTGTAGATAGGCTGTCATCCTCTCTGTGGCTATATTTCGGTTTATAAAAAGATGATTAGGGTGACTAGCAAAGAGTCTACATTGAAAAAACCCACAGAGTGGTAGAGTTGGAAGACCTCTCTTAGAGGCTATGTGGTCCCGTGTCTTCTTCAGCATTCTGGACACATGGTTCCCACACAGTCTCCCCAGGATACTCGAGCCAAGGATCTCATGGCCTCTAGATTCAGCCACAAACCTGTTAGCTCTTCATTAAGAGTCTTTATTCTATTGATCTATAACTCACATGGTGACATCGCTTGTGCTTCTATCTTCTCAAGGAACACAGAACCAGACCTTTCCACTAGCTTTGGGCATCCCTTTAACCATTTGAAGAAAGCTACCATGTACCCCTTGCGTCTTCTCCAGAATAGACTGCCCTAGAAGCACAGCGTCTAGACATCTCACCATCCTTGTCCCTTTTCTCTAGAGGCTCAATCTACATTTAAAAAAAATAGAAACACCCTCACTTGGGTTTTAATTCATTATATAATGAATACATGTTCATCATTACGTCATTAGAAAATACCAAAAAAATAAAAAAATAAAACTACTCATAACCACAAAGAACATTTTGGTATATTTTCTTAGCTTTTTCCTATGCAAATATCTTAAAAAAAAAAAAAAAAAAAAACATGCTCAAGTTCATAGTAATTCTGTGTCCCACTTCTTTTTTTCAAAATGTTTTTATTAATGTCAGAGAGAGGGCGATAGAGAGATATAAACATCAATGAGAGAGAAACATTGATCAGCTGCCTCTTGCATGCCCCCTACTGGGGACTGAGCTTGCAACTTGGGCATGTCCCCTGACTGGGAATCAAACCTGTGACCTCCTGGTGCATGGAACATGCTCAATCAACTGAGCCATACCAGTTGGGCCTGTGTCTCACTTCTTACATCACTAAAGTTTCTTTAGCCCAGTTCATAGAGGGTTAGATAAGGTTATATTATATCAACATACTATAAGTTATTTAATCAGTCTCCTTTCCACTTACTTTGGGAACATTTAGTTGGTTCTAATTTTTGTTATTACAAGTAATTTCGTGAAAATTATCTTAGTACACAACCCTTTGATTAATGGCCCACTAAAAATTTATGTTCAGAAGCAGTCAAACATCCCATTGAGAGATTGGATGGGGAGAGAGATTGGTGGGGAGACCACTGCTTATTGTGATCTGAACATGTTACTTCTATGAAAGCAAAACTCAAATGACTTTGAATTACTACCTATGGCCTGAAAATGCAGGGCATTTTGAAGTGCAGCTCACAGCCAGAACTGGAACTGGTGGGGGTGAGGGTGGAGGTGGAGAAATCCTAAGAGACCTTGTTCCTGCTATGGCAGACACCAGCACAGGCTCTGTCTTCCCCCTGGGCCTGTGCAGTGTTTATACCCTGATCAGTTTTTGCACCTGTGGCCGCTCCTGGGCACCTGTGAAGAGCTCTGGAAATGTGTCCCAATCTTGGCTTTCCCACCCCTCAGGCAGAACCCAGCCCCTCCCTCCTGTATTCCCACGGTCCCTCTAGCAGGCCTCTCTAAAGCTCTTATCTCTTCCCAGCAGTTGTTCACACGTCTATCTCTTCCATCGGACACTGATCCCTGGAGGACTGAGATTGTTTCCTTATCAACTTTAATCCCTCACAGTTTATGTAAGAAAGCAGCTGGCTGGATAGATGAACAAGTGAATGTAGAGGGAAGGGCATAGGAAGCCCTCTGTCCCTCAGGTCTGAGACCCAGGAAGGAGCCCGGGAATGGAAATGACAGTGAGGTTGAAGGCTTTCAGCCCTCAGGGCTGGGCTCCAGCTGATATGGCCTGGTCTCTCATGCACCTCTCTTGGCAGTGAAACTGAGGTCCTTGATTCTCAGATCCAAAACTGCTCCTGGCGCCTCTTACTCCATGCATTTTTTAAAAAATTTTTTCAACATGGAGAGAGGGATATCAATGTGATGCAGACTGAGAGTCTGAGGGAGCGAAGGGGGGAGGAGTCAGGAGCAGGGCCCAGGCCACACCACAGCACTGCTCATAGCCAACAGTCCATGCCCACATCAGAGTCTCATCCTGTTCCCCCACCTCCACCCACTCACCCACACAGACATCTAATCCTGCCTCCCCGCACCCTCCACCCCTGCCTACAGGCAACAAGATCAAAGCCACCAAGGACACAGCCACCGTTCTTTCACTTCTTGGAAAAACAGAACCCCTAAGTTCAGAAACCGGCAGAACCGGAGAGCTGATGGGCTGGCCCCACCTGGGTCCCCCCCGAACCGGGGTGCTGGCCCTCCTCCAGGCTCCTCATCACCCCTGTATCCACATCAGAGTGCCCCCGAGAGCTCTCGCCAAGGCCTGCTCCATTTCGATTAGAACACGGTCCGATTAGTGACTTTCTCATGTCATGCTGAGGAGAGGGAAGCCAACCCAAGCACGTCAGGGTCAAGTTAGACGGTTTTGGATCCATAACTGCACAGCTCCAGTACCTGCTCATGTACGTGTCACCTTGGCCATGGCTGCAAGGCTAGACAAAGGAACTCTGGAAATGAGACTGGAAAAGGAAGAAAAGTGAAAGACTCCTACTCAGCCTTCGGGAGAGATATTGAAGAACTGGTAGTGTTATCTGTTTAAGGGTATATGTGCCAAGGTTAAGGGATAGGGGCCAAGGGCATGGGAGAAAAATGGGGGTTTGGGTTACGTAATGAAGGGGGCTTCCATGGGGTAATCCGGTTAAACGATTGGCTTTCTTTTTGGAACCATTTCCCTTGTGGGCCATCCCAGGCACCGCTTAGAATCACCAAACCTTAGCATCCGATGGTCTTTCAGCCTCCCACCCACACACACCCCACTTGGCAGGGAAGGATGGAGCCTGCATAAATGAGAACTGCTCCCTTAAATTAAAATGAAAGCTGGGTGCTACCATTGTATCCATTGGCAGACACCTTGAGGTGTTTTTCCCCCTCTGGCTGTTTACATAAAACAAGACTCTGGAACACATGGAGTTTGCAAACAATAACGTGAGGAGTGGAGGAGAAAGTTGGAACTTGTACTAAGCGGAATGTGCTGTCTGTTCCAAGGAAAGGCTCTAGTGGGCAGATCCCAGGCCCAGCACAATGCTGAGCTCACAGGTGACAGAAGCTCGCTCCTGCCTGACTGCCAGAGAGCCCCTTGCTTCCTTGGCTACCACCAAACGTACAATGCAGTAAGTGCTCAATGCCACTTGGTGTTTTTTCTCTTTTTTACAATTTTCCCATTAATTCCAGGGGGAGAGCATTGGAACATCCCTGGCATTTGGAGTGGTGAGAGGCATAGAATAACAACACAGAACCAGCGGTCTTGGAGCAGAAACAAACTGGGAAGTGCTGGGTTTTAGCCTTGTGAATTACCGCTATCTAGCTGACACTATGGTAACTTAGATAGTAGCTGATGACTTCCCTGTGTAGCAGAGAGACTCAAAAAACAACAAATGGCACCCCGTTTTAGTTTCCGTTCAGAGCTGGCCAATGTGAAATTGTTTTCTGGCTCCAGCACTGAATCTGAACATCAGTATCTAGGAGCCATTCTGTACCTGCTGCTATAATTGCCATTACTTGAATGATGATAATATTGCATAATATTAATTTATTTCTATTTCTCAGCCACACTGTATAGGTATTTTAGGACAATGTTCCAAATGAACTTTTAGAAAGAACGAGGATATGAATATGTGTACATATAAATAAAATTACCTCTCCAACTAAAGGTGTCAACTTTTAACTACTTGCGGACTATTTGAGGTGGTAGAGAGAAAGTTACCAACAAGGGATCTCCCATTAGGATATCAACTGATTTCTCAACAGAAACACATCAGGCCAGAAGTAAAATATACAAAGTGATGCAAAGTAAGGGACTGAATCTAAGAATACGATACCAAGCAAGGCTATCATTCAAAATTGAAGGTGAAATCAGGAGCTTCATTGACAAAGAAAGGCTAAGGAAGTTTATTACCACCAAACCACCAATGCAAGAAATGTTGAAGGGACTGCTATAAAAATAAGAAATAAAAAGAAAAGAAGGAACACAGGCATAAAGAATAGGCTGGCAACAAACAAGTACCTATCAAACTTAAAAGTAAATGGATTAAATGCTCCAATCAAAAGACATAGGATAGCTGAGTGGGTCAGAAAACATGACCCGCATATTTACTGTCTCCAAGAGACCCCAGGTGGAGAAAGATAAATGCCACATGATCTCACTCATTTATGGAATATAGTGAACAACATAAGCTGATGAACAAAAATAGAGCCAGAAACATAGAAGCACTGAACAGACTGTCCAACATAAGAGGGAAGGCAGGAGTCTAAGAGATTAACCAAAGGACTTGTATGCATGCATATGAGCGTAACCAAAGGACGTAGACACTAGAGATTCTGACTTAGGAGGCTGCGGGAGGGCCTCACTCTCTGTTTTGGGAAGCCATGGATTTGTGATCTTCCAGCCTCCTTGCAACTCACTCCAGGATTCTGACTCTATTCCCCAGATGTCCCCAAATTTTCTTACCTGAATCCTGGGATCATCTTGGCAAAGCCAATGACCTTTTGGATGCTGTAACTGACCAGGTCAGCCAGGTGGGGCAGCATAGAGAGCTGGGACAGGTCTATGGTCACAGAAGAGTTATCTGAGTTTTCTTCCCTCAGATCCAGGTTGGAGAAGTTGGCCTGCTCCATCAGGTCTGAGGAAGGAGGAGGGAAGAAAAGGAACTCCTTAAGGATACTTGAGCCTGGCTTCCTCCTGCTGGGCCCCGGGCGGGCCTCCTGTGCCCTGGCAGCTGAGCCAGCTGGGAATCCCACAGTGACTACCTCTCCCCAGCTCACGCTCCAGCCCAGGCTTCCCTCTAGGATCCCCCTGTCTCTTCTCTCAGTAGAGCAGAGCAGAAAAAAAAAAAAAAAAAATCAGATACTCCAAAAATGAGACTTCCTCAAGTCAAGATTTTATGTTCTGTGTGTTGTTCCTAAGGCTGCCAAGTCAAAATTGGAACCAACAAACCCGTGGGAAGCAATGTTTAACCTCACCAGTGATAAAAGTTTATCACGTGAAACCTCTACACTTTTCACCTACAAACTAGAAACCAACATGCAGAGGTGTTGAGACCAATCATTATAAAGATGCAGGGAACTAGGCAATTGTGTGCACCAAAGGAGGCACCGATCTTCACAAGTCACCTCCCAAGCTATTGACAATTATGCATGTTCTTTAACCAGTACTCCCACTCCCAGGAATTCATCATAGGAAGACATTCCCAATAAGTGCAAATATTTAGCAACAAGTATATGGTTATCTTAATGAAAAGTGCAAATATTTAGCAACAAGTATACCGTTATCTTAATGAAAAGCTAAATATCTGATAGTAGGGGATTTAGATGTTATTGTACATTAATACCCCAGACTGCCATGCAACCTTTAAAAATAATATTCAGGATGTATACTGATATGATACAATGTATTATTGTGAGAGAAAAAAAGCAAAGTACCAGACTATATGTATGGCACAATTCCATCTATGAATATGCATATATGTTTTTTTTTTAAAGAAATGAGTCCTGGCCAGTGTGGTTCATTTGGTTGAGCATTGCCCAATGTGCCTAAAGATCGTCTGGATTGTGGGTTCAGTACTCAGTAGGGGGCTTGCAGGAAGCAGCTGATTAATATTTCTTTCTCCCTCTCCATCCCTCTCACTCTAATATCAATAGAAACAGCCCAGCCAACATAGTGCAGTGGTTGAGCATCCACCCATGAACCAGGAGGTCCTGGCTCGATTCCCATTCAGGGCACATGCCTGGGTTTTGGGCTCATCCCCAAGAGAGAGGGTGTGCATCTCATCACTGATGTTTCTATCTCTCTTCCTCTCTGAAATCAATACATACATATTAAAAAAAAATAAAATCAATAAAAATGTATTTAGAATACATAAATTAAAATTACAAATGGAAGAGATACACCACAGTGCTAACAGTGATTAGATGGATAGTAGGGTTAAAGACTATATCCATACTAATAAAAGGGTAATATGCTAATTGGACCAGGAGACCTTCCGGAAATTCTTTCAGATAAAGCCATGGTGGTGGGGCCAAGACAAAGGAGGTTAGGAGTGATCAGATCAGGAAGGGACGACAGTTGGGGATGATCAGGCTGGCAGGGGGGCAGTTGGGGACAATCAGGCTGGGGGGGGCAGTTGGGGGCAGGCAGGCGGGGGGGCAGTTGGGGGCAAGCAGGCCAGCAAGGGGGGGGGGGCAATTAGGGGTGAGCAGGCCAGCAGGCAAAGTGGTGAGGGGTGATCAGGCAGGCAGGCAGGTGAGCGGTTAGGAGCCAGCAGTTCTGGATTGTGAGAGGGATGTCCGACTGCTGGTTTAGGCCTGATTCCACAGGCCCAGATTGGAGAGGTTGCAGGCCGGGCTGAGGGACACCCCCAGCCCCACCGTGCACAAATTTCTTGCACCAGGCCACTAGTGTGTGTGTGATTTAGTTTTTATTTTCTTAACATCTACAATGAATATGTACTACTTTTATATGATAGTAAAAATGTTAACTAGCTTGAATTGTTAAATAAACATATGCTTTACTGGTTACACCATGGAGGGGGGTGAGCATCTCAAATCAATTGACTTATAAGAGGGTATCAAAACTCCTAAATAATAGAAAATTATTAAAAACTGAAATTAATTATAAAATTATAAAATTATAATTTAAATTATAAAATTATAAATTAAAATTACAATTTTAAATTAGAAAAATTATTAAAAACCACAAATATGACATGCAAATGGACCTTCATTGATGCAAAGAAATATGCCATCAAGTGAGAGAGATGGATTCTCAGGTGAGAGGCCGGGAGGGTTGGTCAGTCTATGCAGAGATCAGTGTGGTGGGTAGACACAATGTCTGGCTCCACTGCCATCTCTGTCCAGCTGGCACAGTGACCCCTGCCACCTGTCCTTGATTTGGGATCTATATCTATCAGTGAATCTGAAGGGTTCTAGTTCCCCTGGGCAGAGGGAGAGGAGGCCCCAGGCAGAGGGAAGTAGGGCTGGGGTTGGCTGAGAGGTAGAGGGATGAAGAATAAGAGGAGGGGAGGGTGAGGCAGGAAGATGAAGAGGAAGGCAGGAAAAAAAGCACATAAGAAGAAAAGAAAGGATGGGCTGGAGGAGACAGGTCCTCTATGGCCTTAATAGTCCCCCAGGACTCTGGGATAAATTGGCTGCAAGGGGACCCTTCCATGCCAAATTCCACCTTCCAAAAAGCTCCTGCTCTGATGATGATTATAGTTAACAATACTGTTTTGAATATTTGAAAGTTGCTAAGAGTAAATCTTAAAAAGTTTTCATCACACACAAAAAAAATGTTTGTAATTATGTAAGGTGATAGATGTCCATTTGTTATATATAAAATCATTATGTTGTACACCTTAGACTTATACAGTGTGATCTGTCAATCACCCTATATCATAAAAAGCTAATATGCAAATTGGCTGAATGGTCGTTATGATGCACACTGATCACCAGGGGGGGCAGCTCCTGTGTTGAGCAACTGCCCCCTGGTGGTCAGTGCGCTCCCATAGCGGGAGTGCCGCTCAGCCAGAAACCGGGCTCACAGCTGATGAGCGCAGCAGCGGTGGTGAGAACCTCTTCTACCTCTGTGACAGCACTAAGGATATCCAACTGCACGCTTAGGCCCGCTCCCTGCAGGGCTAAGCTGTCAGTTTCAATAAAACTGGAAACACTAAACAAAAATCCCATAGGGCCCAAGCTCAAAATAGAGGAACCAGGTCTCCCCCAAGGAGGGAGCCAGGTACAGAAGCCTGGCTCAGAGGGAGTAGCAAGAGACTCCCGCAGGCAAACCTTGCCTGGGACCCCAGCTTGGCCTCTTCCCAGCGTGGGCCCTTGGGCAAGTTCTGCCTGTTCTGAAGACGCCCGGTGGCCCACAGAGTGACAGGACCATCCTCTCATTGGCAGCCTCGGACAGGCAGGCGGGGAAGCTCTGGGCTCCTCTCCCTGCTCACCAGGGAGCGAGGTGTGCAGTCCCGCTTACCTGGGGAGCAGGTGTACTGATCTGAGCAGGAGGAGGATGAGTCCCCAGAGAAGCTGGGCATGTGTCTCAAGGGTGGCCCTGACAGATTGCTGCTCCTATCCTCAGGTTCTCGAACCGGAGGCTGGAAGGGAAAGATGGAGTGTCAGAAGCTCCCATTGGAGATCACCTTCCTACTTTTGGCCTTGCTCTCCGACAGGATGGCTTTAAGGACGTTCCGTGGGAGGGGGCGGCCTCCCTAAAGCAACCTTCATGGCCCCTCCCCGCTGGACTGGGAGGCCTCGGCCCTCTCCCTACCCAGGATCCCCTGCGGCTCATCCCTCAGGGCCCGCGGGCGGCCTACCCGGAACTGGCTGAAGTCGGTGTAGGTGGGGTCGTAGGTCTGGTGGTGGGCATCCAGCAGGATGCTGATGATGCGCTGCTGCTCCTCCGACAGCTTGGGCCGCAGGCTGTCCTTCAGGGCCTCCTCCTCTTTCCTCTTCAGAATCATCTCCCGCTTCCGCTGCACCTCCTCATCCGTCAGGATGACTGTGGGTCAGAAGGGACCATCGGAAGGGCCGGGCCTGCAGCTCCTCCAAGAAACCTGCCTCTGGCCTCTGAAGACACAGGATGGGAGGGCTGCCTCCCCCACCACACACTCAGAGCTCACGGAAGGGGGAAGGGGGCTCCTGCCGCAGGAGAGGCCGAACCCCCTCGGTGGGTAGGAGAGAGGAGGAAGGGAGGATCTGAGAGGTGGATGGCCTGGGCATTAGAGAGGCTGGGCTCTCACACCCATGGTGTATGCATCTGGACAAACCATGTGAACTCTCCGGGCTTGTGCTTGGCCCGGCTGGTGTGGCTCAGTAGTTGAGTGTCAACCTATGAACCAGGAGGTCATGGTTCGATTCCCAGACAGGGCACAAGTCCGGATTGTGGGCTGCATCTCCAGTAGAGGGCGTGCTGGAAGCAGCGGATCAATGACTTTCTCTCATCATTGTTTTTTTTTCTCTCTCCCTCCCCCTTCTTCTCTGAAATCAATAAAAATATATTTTTTAAAATGACAAGCCTGGACCATGCCATCTCTTCTAAGCCCCCCCCCCCCACCTTTTTTTGTTCCTTCCTCCATAAAATGGTAAAATATATGCCTGGAAAGAAGGACTGCTTTGAGAACTGAATGCAATGCATTTTGAGCACAAAGCAGCTGCTCATTCAACATTAATTCCCCCCTCCTCTTCCCCTCACCATATTCCCTGATCCTGAGGGAGACATCAGGGGGAAGACATCAGGGGGAACGAGTCACAATGGGGACAGTCACAGTGTTGGAAGCTGGGAGGTGCTCAGAAGATGATCCCATGTGGCCATTCCCACGTCCACCCTTCCGGGCACGGAATTCAGGCACCTGATCTATTCTGACCAGCAGCAAATGGCTTTTCATCTCTGGTTCCTTGCAAAACAATACCTCCCTAGCCTGTCCAGTCTGGAAGTTTCTGCCCGAGGAAATTATCAAGTCCTCTGGATAACTGAGGTCTACCCCGACAACCACACCTCATTGTCATTGTTCTAATCTGGGAAGTTCTCTGCAGCTGCTATCCAAGAGTCTGAAGATGGGGAGACCTCACATCCCTTCATGCCATGCAGGGGCTCAGGTGGTGCTGGGGCAGCTGCCTGGAGGGCGGGCTGGGAGCAGGGATGCCTGGCACAGAAGCCAGGCAAACAGACCTCCTGGCAGGGCTTGCCGAGAGCTGACAGCAGGAGTGGGCACGGGGGCCTGCGGCCTGTAGCTACTTGCTCTGTGGTGGTGTTGCCAAGGCCTCTGCCCACAGAACTGGAGAGTTTCACAAGAGCAGGGAAAGCAACCAGAACCTCAGGGTGGGTTCCAGGCTTCAAGGAAGGCCCGTTGGCCCAGGCGATTCAGGAGGGGGGAGGATGAGAGAAGTCGGTGGGGGGTGAGGAAAAGCTTATGGTGGTAGGAGTGGGCAACCAGAGCCTCGGGCACAACAGAAAAGGGACGCCTGCAGCAGAAGATGGCGCATTCCGTCCACAGCTGAGGTAAGCCGTACCAAGAGGAGGACCGGGAGGAGCCACGCCCAGATTACTGACTCACTTGCCCGAACTGCTGCCAACTATCCTCCCACAGAGGGTGTCTGCTCAGACCCCAAGAGGTCAAGTGGAGTGGGAGCAGGGAGCACCCCAGTCAGGGCAGGGTGCCAGGCTCTAGCCTGGAGAACCCAAGAGTAAGTGTCTGGTCTTTCCTGCTCACCCGAGCGGTGGCCAGAAGAGTGATGAGACTGGAGCTGGGGGAGGACGGGGAGGGGGGAGGACGGGGAGTGGGGAGGGAGGGCCCAGGGTGTCCACAGGCTTGAGCCAGTCCTTGTGGTTCTATGATGTCTCTCCTGCTCAGAAACTTCTCCTGGGTCCTTATTGCTTACCACGTGCAAACGAACGTCAAGGTTCTCCACGATTTGGCTTCTTCCTAACTTTCCAGCTTCATTCCCCAGTGCCTGTGGCTGCACTTCCGCTCTAGTTGCGTTGGGTTTGCTAACCCGTGAACATGACCTGCTCCCTCTGGGCACCGCATTTCCACTCCTGCTGGACGCCTGTCCAGCTGGGTCTTGTCTCCCTAGTAGCTGTGCAAGTTCTACCTATTCTTCTGAACCCAGCGTACAGCCTCTTTACATGAAGCCTTTCTTGATTGCCCAGATATGCACTGACCTCTCCTTTTTTTTATTTTAATTTCTTTTATTGATTTCAGAGAGGAAGGAAGAGGGAGAGATAGAAACATCAATGATAGGAGAGAGTCGTTGACTGGTTGCCTCCTGCACGACCCCACTGGGGATGTGCCCACAACCAAGGTACATGCCCTTGACCGGAATTGAAACTGGGACCCTTCTGTCCGCAGGCCGATGCTCTATCTACCAAGCCAAACTGGTCAGGACCTGACCTCTCCTTTTTTTAAACCTGTGGTATGTCTGGTTTTTGGCACCCAGTTGCCTTCCACTCTGTAATATTTATAATTAGAACAGTGTGCAATAAATGCCTGTATAGAGAGAGCCTAAGAAGTACAAGGTCTCCTTCACTGGAACTATAGGCTACTGACTAAGGCAAGGGGCCACATCTTATAATTCCCATTTCCTCCATGAAGGCTAGCCAAGGGGAGCTTTCTGGCCATGGTACTTGTTCAATAGTTCGACATAATGGATCCAACACATCAAAACTGGCTGTCCCTGTTATGTGCTGGTTGCCCTGGGCCCAGGGAAGGACTGTGAGTGATGTACCAGTACTGCATGCACCCTACAAGGTCAGGCAAACACACGCTGAAGGCCAGTCCACCAGATGCTGAGCTGGGCATACCTTTTTATTTAAATAATTGTTACTGAAATATTTTCAGCACAGAATACCCTGTCACAGAACACCTGTAACATCATGCAATCTTTTCTTGATGATTCAGAGGCATCATTCCAAACAATTACTGGACTCTGCAGGAACAAGGTTATGACCTCAGAATTCTTCAGGGCTGTTTCCCTGCACTGCGTGACTCAGCCTGCTATGGTGTTTTTCTTGTGCTGCTTTCCATGGCTTTCGGTCTCCCTCTCTGTTAAACTATGGGTTGTCTCTTCCTCTCGCTGCCTACCCCTGGAAGTGTGCCTTCTCCCCTGAAGAGTTACTTCAAATCTGTTGGGAGCTGGGAAATCTGGTGATCAAGTGTTTTTTGTTTGTTTGTTTTTGTTTTGCAATAAAATAGTGTAAATAAAAATGGATAAAATAGCCGAGACCGGTTTGGCTCAATGGATAGAGCGTCGGCTTGGGGACTGAGGGGTCCCGGGTTCGATTCCGGTCAGGAGTATGTACCTTGGTTGCGGGCATATCCCCGGTGGGGTGTGCAAGAGGCGGTTGATCGATGGCTCTCTCTCATCGATGTTTCTAACTCTCTATCTCTCTCCCTTCCTCTCTGTACAAAATCAATAAAATATATATTTTTTAAAAATGGATAAAATATCTAGAGGTTTCTATGTATTGTAGTGTTTCCCAAAGTGTGGTATGCGTACCCCCAGGGGTACGGGAAGAGTTTGGTGGGGGTACGCGTTGCACCGGAGTTTGGTGGGGATATGCACTGCACCGTGCTTAGCTGCGCCTAATTCTACGTTCTCATGAGTACGAGGGGTACTCAGCGTTACGAAAATTATAGAAAGGATACACATATGTCAAAAGTTTGGGAAACACTGATGTCCTGGGTACAATTCTAAGTGTGGTTTTTTTTTTTTTTCATATTAACTCACATGTATTTAGTCCTTGTAAAAACCACCTAAAGCAGGTGCTATTATCCCCATATTGCAGATGAGAAAACCGAGGCCAAGAGGCTATATACCTTGCTCAGAGTCACACAGCTAACAAGTGGCAAGGCTGACATTCATCTCAGGTCAGGGTGGTTCTGGGGGTGGGGGGGTGGTAGTATCTAGCAACTCATATGGCCTCTGATTAGAATCGGCTAAGGGCTCAGGAGGGCCCTGGTCCTCAGCATTGAACACACAAAGTGTTCCAATCCATTTGAAGAGTATGAAAAATTAAAGTAGGAAAGTTTGTAAATGATTTACTTCGAAAGGGCAAAGTTAAGAAGATTCCATGTTAATTGTATGACACTGTTCCTCTGGATCACTAGTATCAATAGGGACCATCATCCTTCGTGCAGACCCAGAGGAAGAAATGCTGAGACCTGCTGGTTTCAAACAGGGGCCGCTGATCCATGGGCCTCCCTCCAGGCCATATTGTCTGGGGACTGAATAAATCATAAGTCTCACATATGCAAATGCTATTGTGATTTATCAAATACATCTTTTGTTTAAGGGGCCACATAGGAAATTATCATTTGCTCAGTGAATTGTTATTAAAAATGCCATTACTATCATGGAGGAGGACATATGTTTTGAAGTTAAAAGCCAATGACCTGCCGAGACCGGTTTGGCTCAGTGGATAGAGCATTGGTCTGCGGACTGAAAGGTCCCAGGTTTGATTCTGGTCAAGGGCATGTACCTTGGTTGCGGGCACATTCCCAGTGGGGGTGTGCAGGAGGCAGCTGGTCGATGTTTCTCTCTCATTGACGTTTCTAGCTCTCTATCCCTCTCCCTTCCTCTCTGTGGAAAATCAATAAAATATATTTTTTAAAAATAAATAAAAGCCAATGACCTAGAATAAGAGCAAATAGGTTCTGAAAGAGCATTTGATGGGCTCTCCAAAGAATAAAGTGCATGAGGTCTGCAGTTAAGTCCTTACCTAGCATGTGGATAGAGTCTATAACTAAGCAAAATGGCAATGAACAAAAACTGTTTTACCATATCCTAAATGATGCGAATAAGTTAGTTCCTACCACATTTCATCAATGTTATAATGAAGCAACATTGAATAAAACTTATTCAAAAATCTGCTGTGCATGGATTTTGTGAAACCTGTATGGCTTCCTAGTAGCTTTTCTTCTTCTTCTTCTTCTGGCTTCCTAGTATCTTTTCTTCTTCTTCTTCTTCTTCTTTTTTTTTTTTTTTTAAATATATTTTATTGATTTTTTACAGAGAGGAGGAGAGAGGGATAGAGAGCTAGAAACGTCGATGAGAGAGAAACATCAACCAGCTGCCTCTTGCACACCCCCTACTGGGGATGTGCCCCCAACCAAGGTACATGCCCTTGACCAGAATCAAACCTGGGACCTTTCAGTCTGCAGACCGACGCTCTACCACTGAGCCAAACCGGTTTCGGCCCTAGTAGCTTTTCTCTTCTCCTACTATGTTCCTTGTCGAGTGAGAAAATAGCTTTGGGCAAGTTATTCCCATGAATAACTTGAGAATCGAATTAGGGAAGCAAGATCTGAAAGCACAAACAACTTAAAAACATTTCAAATTGTCACTGGTGGCATAACATTAGGGAAGCAGACCTAAAGGTCTTCCAAATGAATGACACAGGTAATATCAGGCTTGGGGGATCTTCTTAATCTATAGACCAGTGGGAGATGTAGTGGTACAAAGAAGCTAACATTCAGTCATTCAACACATTTATTGAGCACCTACTATGCACCAGGTTCTGTGCTAATGCTGGGTGCGAAAGATGTACAACTGTAAACATGTTAAACAAGCTAACAGAATACGTACTTCTGTGTAGGACTGGTCTACAAAAAGCAAGAACTCAACTGTGAAATTTCTTGGGCTCCAAGGACATAAAGTCAACTAGGACTTGAAGAGAGAGAAAGAGAGACTTCAGTGGGACAAAGGTCTCTTCAGCTCATCGGTAGGGCTAGGGCAGTGCCTGGAAATGCATGATGAAGGAGCTCTGGCCCACTGGGGATACCTGGGGGCTGTGCTGGGCTGGAGCCCATAGGTCTGGTCTTTGGAAACAGACAGACTTAGGTTAGAATGCCCACACCATCATCTTATTAGCTTAGAGGCATGTTCTTTTAATTCTCCCGAATTTCCTCATCTATTAACTCCTAAAGGGTAATTACATATTTAGGAATTGAAGAATTTAACAAGAGAATGCATGTGTCTGACACGTATCTGGCACTCAGTAGGTGGTCAATAAGCATTGGTTCCCAGGCTCATCCCTTTCCCCTTCCTAGCCTCCTCCAGGGAAGGGCCACCTCCATTGCAGCTAGGGAACCAGGTGTCCTATTGTTTACAAATGCTGACACTCAGCTGCCTCTAGGAGGGAGGCCTTGGAGCAACAGCCTGCCCTGGTGATAAATGAGCAGCAATCCTAGGGATATGACTGGGAACTCCAGGCCTCCCAAAGCTGGGCTGCCCGAGGCAGGGACCACACCTGTCCCTGGAAGACTTTCCCTTCCAGGAAAGTGGCCGTAGAGCTTAGTGCTAGACCAAGGTTTTTATTATTTTCTTTTCTTTTCTAATCCTTACCCGAGGATATGTTTATTAAGTTTGGAGGGAGGAAGGAAGGGAGAGAGAAAAAGAAAAGAGATAGAGACATCGACTGGTTACCTCCTGAACATGCCCGACTGGGGATCGAACTCACAACCTTTTGGTGTATGGAATGATGCTCCAACCAACTGAACTACCCAGCTGGGCCAAGTTTTCTATTTTAAGTGGAGCTCTGGGGCCCATCCCTAACTCAGTGCAGCTCCCGGCACTGGCATCTAGAGAAGTGGGCATGGGCCACACTGGGCACACAGCAGAACCAGGGACACGGGTTCCATCGGGGAGGACTGAGGCTAGGGCTGGCATGACTGAGGCACAAAGCTGATTGGGAGCAGGGGAGAATGGCCACATGGTGCTCCTGGGCAGGGGTCCCCTGACCCACTCAAGGTCTGCTCCTCACTATGGCTGCAATGCTCTCCGTGGGGCTCCAGAGGGATCGAGGAGGGGACTTTGAGTTGGAGTCGAGTCTCAACCTGATTTCTGACTCCAATCCTGGTAGCTTTACCTACTGGGGCTCAGAGGATTTCTTGCTGTTAGTCATCTTCTTCCCCTGAGACACAAGAGAGGGGCCTCCTGGATACCAGTGAGGCTGGCCCTGACTGGAACTCCTGCGGCAAAGCCTTACTGAATCCCAGGGTGGTACTCTGTGCTGCCCCTGGTTGGCTGGAGCCATAGAATCGGGTCTCCCTATCCCTGGAGGCTGCGCACACACTCCTGGGGGGGGGGGGGGGAGGGGAGAGGATGGAGCAGGGGCTGCGGATGCACCTGGTTGGTGTCCAGCACCGGCTCACACAGAGCAGGCCCACTGAGCCAGCGCGTGAGAAGCCCAGGAGGCACCCAGGCCTGCAGCCTGCATGCTCCAGGATAAACACGGGAGCCGGGCGGGGCAGGGGCCTGGGCACGGAACGATGAGCATGTCAGGGCCTGCAGGCTCTCATGGGGGCGAGGAGGAACAGGGCCTGGAAACTCCTTCCAGCGCTGCCAGTGTTGTCTGGGGAGCTGGGATCGGGAATGAGGGGCTGAGACCTGCCAGTAGGGACCCTGTTGTCAAGGCCTGAGGAAGGGCCCCAGGTGAGGGCCTCCACTCTGCCTGTTTCTCAACAACGAAGATTGTTTTTTTCCCATCCCTTCAGCCCTGTACTGTGACTTCTCCTCTTGTTCCAGATACATCTTCCTTATACCTGCTCCCCCCACCCCCCAAATAAACAGTCCCATAGCCAGGAGGGCCTCCAGGGGTGCCTGTGTCTGAGCGCCCCTGCCTCCCCAATCTCCTCAGGCCTATGGCCTAAAGGGCCTAGGCCTTGTCCCTGGTTCGAGTGCAGGTTGCAGACAAGAGTGAGCAAGAGGCAAAGCGGGGGCTGAATGTACAGAGGGCACCCATGCCCAGGCCAGCTCAGTGCCCTTGCCTTGAGCTCCCGAAGGTGCTGGTTAGCCCCTCCCAGGATCTACTGAATTCAGTGTCTGCTCTGGTTACCAAGTAACTGGTACCAGAGCTCAGATGCAAAGTCCAGGGGTCAGGACATCTGAAACTGTCCTACCGATCCACTCCTCCCGCCCCAGGGCTGGACACAATGTCCTGTAGGATTGCTCCTCTTTCTCTGGATCTAGAGGGTCATCCGAGAGTCCAGTGCTTCCCCTCACAGAAGCTTTCCCCCCACTGTCCCCTGGGCACCAGCTCTCAGATCTGCTCCCAGGGCCAGAGAGGCTGGAAGGCTGAAGGGGGGGGAGGACCCTGATGCCAGCCAGGCTCTGAACATTTATTCTCCTCACCCCTCTTCCCCGCCCCAACCACAGCAGGCCCCTCTCCCAAAGGCCACAGCACCCTGGGGTCCTTGAGCCTCGTTCTTTACCCTCGGATCCAGGGAGCTGTGAGCACAGTGATGACATCTTGGAGGAAGACTGGCCTGGGAGCTCAGGAAGGCAGTGCCTTGCCTCTCCCTCCCACCAGCCTCACCGGAGGGCTCCTCCTGGCCCCCAAGACCCATTCACACAGAGGCTCTCACCCTGGCGGTTTCGCCACCCTCCCCAGGCTGTGGCCCCAGATGCCAGGATGCCAGTAGCTATGGGGAAAGGGCGGGTACACCTCTCTGGCCAAACCAGCAGCCAGAGATCCCTTCTGGCCTCAGTCCTCTCCCAACCCCCTCTCCGGCCCCTGGACACTCACACTCCTTCATCATGCCGATGTCCACGCAGCGCTTGAGCCGGCAGGCCTGGCAGTGGCGGCGGTTGTCCTTGGTGATGCGGCAGTCCCCGTTGAAGGGACAGGTGAACAGCGCCTTCCGCTTCATGCTGCGTCTGCCAGGAGAGGACACGCCCCCCACTGGGTCACCCACCTTCCAGCGCCTCAGTCCCCGCTGCTGTGACAGCAGGAACCTGCCCACTAGGCCCCGGATGCCTATTTCTCCCCCGGAAGGACGGGGCCACTCTCAGTGACCTCCCCGCCCCCCACAGGGCAGCCGAGCCCTCCTCCTCCCTGTCTGCTCTGCTCCCACCACTGCTTCATTTACTTCCACAGCACTCTACCCCTCACTCTTCCTGTGAATTACACAGGAAATATACGAGTAAAGAAAATTTAAATCCTGAAATCTGCAAAGTAGCCCTCACTCCTTTTACAGAGCCGTTCTGAGAGATGAGGATGCTAGTCTCGGCCTTTACTTCCTAGAATCCAGAGATCTGGAAGGCTGGGGTAGGGCCTCCCCGATCCAGGGAGAGACGTGTGCACAGGCGCAGAGAGAAGGGACGGGAGGCCCAACCATGGCTCTAAACATCCACATAATCTGTCCAGAAAGAGAAGGGGCCAGGTCGGGGGGGGGGGGGGGGTAATAGGGGGAAGCCCTGAGGTCTGGCTTTGGTTTTCTGAAAAGCGAGGAGACAAAGGTTCTATAAGAACAGAAAACTGTCAAAGGTTCTCGGCTAGGAAGCCAACACCCACCTGGTCTCCACTGTAAACGTGTATCTCTGTGTGCAAACTCACTTTCCTGGTTCCGCTTCCTCTCCTGCTGCCAACCATCCCCCAGGGGAGGCTGCACTAAGGCCACCTTCTGAGAGGCCTCCCACACCTGTGTCTTACAGGCTCGCCCCTTCTCACCCCTACACTCCAACCCCTGCCCCAGCAAGGAGGAGGCCCCACTTCCCCCGGGACAGGTGGCGGGAGTTAGCGGGGAGAGATCATGGCAGGATCATTTTCTCCCAGAGTAGCATCCTCCGAGGCGCTAAGCCTTAGAACTGAAGGCCCAGGCCTGCCCTTCTTTTCCCCGAGAGGAGCTGATGACATCATCTTCCCCAGAAGTCACACGCTCATGTTTCTTGGTGAAAAGTGACTCACTGTTCCCATTCACTAGAACGTACAGGGGGTTCAGGAGGAACACAATCAGTTGACATGGACACATGGAGGCCAACCCAACCTGACCCTAGAGAGAGGAGAGGAGAGACCAGAGGACCAGCTCTGCTGGCAGTCACAGTCCCTAAGGCCCTCAGGGGCCCAGAGGCTGTTAGTGCACCCCCTTGTTTCATGGAGGGGACCACTGATGTAAAGAAACTCATCAGTGAGGCGATTCAGCAAGAAGTGAAGGCTCCCAAGTTGGAATCCCTAGGGATGTGGTGCTCAGCGTTTAGCTTCCTGGATGGAAGGTGCTATTTCACCCCCAGAAACTCTATGTGCTCCATGAAGCTGAGCCCACAGGCAAGGGGCTCCAAGCAGCTGACCCCTGAGCACAGTCGAGGTGAAGGACAACCCAGTGGTCCAGGAAGTAGTTGTTGTTGGTTTTGGCATCGGCCCCTGTCCCTCCTGTCACAACCCTCATTACCTGAGGCCAATCAGACCGGCTATGCAGGGAGGTGGAGTGGCCTGGGTTATGGGGGTGGTCTAGCCCCGAACCCAGGCCACCCAAGGCTGTGCCCTGCCCCTGCGGTGACTACCCAGGGAAACACTGTATAGCAGGCACTTGCCCACCTTTACAGAAATAGGAAACCTTTCTCCTTGAGCTCCCATTCCTCCCAGCAGCTTTCAAGGGGGACAGGAGAGTGTGGAAGTACCCTGGGCACTGTGAGGGCTACCCCGAATGATATGCTATCATCACCACAGGTCCCCAAACCGCCCCCCTCTTACTCCTTTTCACTTTGCGGTTCTCAAGGCTCCACCTGTTACCACAAATGCTCAAGCCCCCAGAATGCCTCTAGAGCTGGCCCTCAGGTGTGTCTGGCGCAGCACAGGTCCCACGGGCTCCACGTCCTAGCTCTTCTCCTGCCGACTAAGGACACTTCCACACTTGTGGCTGTCATCTAGCCCATGCCCACGAGGAGTCAGGGCAGCCAGCCTGGACAGGCCTGGCTCTGTGCTCTGTCCTGGAGATGCACCCCCTGCCCTGCCTTCTTTCCAACGCTGATTGCCTGTGAGCTGGTTTGGTTTTGAGAAATGAGAGCCTCGCGTTTCCATGGGAGCCTGCAGCCTTTGCTGCTCTGAGCCTGGACCCTGTCATCCTCTGGACGGTTGGCAATTATACCCCAGTTCAGGAAGGGGATAGGGGCGATGTAACAGGGCTAAATATAGACACCGTTTCTAGAAAGTCAGGGGTGAGGGAGGACATGGGCCAAATCTCATGCCAGAGACCAGTTCATTAAGGCACGAGAGACAAGAGCTCACAAAAGCATCAAGTGCCTGGGGCTCGGGGACAGCAGGGTCCTTTGCCAGGAGGTGACCCTGCCAGCAGAGACACAACTTATAAAACCTGAGCCTGGGGCCAAGCACCAGCTCTGGGCTTTGTCTCTGCTGCTGCTCTGAGTGTCACAGAAATCTCAGAACCTGGTCTGGATACAGAGGCCAGGTGGCTATGGTCCCGACAGGTGGCTGGAGCTTCCGACAGGAAAGACCAATGTGGTTCGTCCTGCAGGTGGAACCTACATGGCTGTTTGTATGTGGTGGCATCCAAGCATTCTCAGCAGGTGATTTTAAAAAATCAACTTTAACAGAAGGTAGGTTAAGAACATAGTAAAGAGCACAGGCCATTTTTCTTTTTTGGAGGGCAGTTTGGCAATATCTACCACCATGTAAAAGGCACAGTCTTCAACACAGTAAATCTACTTCCAGGAATTCATCCTGTGGGCAATTCAGCCCATGGGCCCCATGATACGTGCAGAGGATGGTTCCCGCGGCCCTGAGAAGCCGAGGATGGAGCCTAGACGCCCAGTAGGGAGGCCTGGTCACGGGGGCCGAATTCGGCATCAGAAGGAGGTGGCTGTGGGCAGGACACAGGAGGAATGCTGGGACGGGAACAAGCTTGAAGAAGCGTTCCTCACTAGCTAAAAGCAAGACACAAAACAGAGAAAAGAATATACCTGTCCCTCACCCAATTATATATAACTAATCTGAGCTGGTGAGTGACAACTTCTGGGGAGGAGACAGGGGCCTGAGAACTGGGCTGAGAAGAAGACTTATTTTTTCACTAATGTCCTTTTGAACTGTTTGCATCTTAAAAAAATAAATAAATAAATAAACAAAAAAACAAAAACATATGCAGGGGTTTGTTTTTTTAAACCAGAAAATCTACCATCCATTATAACTATGTAATAATTTAAAAAGAAGCACAGGTGATTTTTATTTAAGAGGAGAAATGGTATTTTTTCATTGTTTGGCTAAAAAATGCACACTGCAAGGGCAGCTTAGGTCTAAAAACTAACTTAATTTAAATTTTTGGATAAAGCCTCCTCCCAACTTTGAAATGTGCAATGAAGAATACCTGCAATTAGGTTATGTAGCATATGTAACTATTCAATGATTTAGAACATCATGAAAAATATGAACATTTCCTCTGGAAATGCTATAAGAACATATATTTCCATTTATTATCCTGTTTTTAGTGGACACCAGTTGGAAGCAGAGCAACGGTGTTTATAAGCTTGAATTTTTAAAGTATCTGATCGCAAGGACTGTGACGCTAAAAATGTTAACTAAGAGATCACTGAAATTTATCTCCCCTCTTGCTGAAGTTCTTTGTAGTGGAAGTTCATTAAAATTTGGTTATTAATGTTCCCCTCCCTCCAAAAAAAATCCTATCTAATAAAAGAGTAATATGCAAATTGACCATCACTCCAACACACAATATGGCTGCCCCCATGTGGACACAAGATGGCCACCACAAGATGGGCAGTTAGGGATGACCAGGCTGGTGGAGTAGGGCAGTTGGGAGGGACCAGGCCTGCAGGGGAAAGCAGCTAGGAGTGATCAGGCAAGCAGGGGAGGGCAGTTGGGGGGGACCAGGCCAGCAGGGAAGGGCAGTTGGGGGTGACTAGGCTGCAGGGGAGGGCAGTTAGGGGCAACCAGGCCGGCAGTGAAACAGGCATCTATCAGGCTGGCAGGGGCATGGTTAGGGACAATCATGCAGGCAGGCAAGTGAGCAGTTGGGAACCAACAGTCCTGGATTGTGAGAGGGATGTCCGACTGGGAGCGGGCCTAAGCAGGCAGTTGGACATCCCTCTAGGGGTCCGAGATTAGAGAAGGTGCAGGCTGGGTTGAGGGACAACCGCCTGCCATGCATGAATTTCATGCATTGGGCCTCTAGTAAATAAATAAAATAAAAGAAGAAAAGCTTTGGTTAGATTGATCTGTTTGGGTTTAAATCCTGATACACAACCCTGGAGACATTTCTTAATCTCCTCAGCCTCAGTTTTCACATCTGTAAAAAGAAAGCAACTATACAAAGAGGATGTAAGGATGAAGTAAAGGATTCAGGACCAAACACAAAGTACACACTCACTCAAGGGCAGGGAGAGGCAGGTGGAGGGAGAGCTGCCAGCGGCTGCAGAAGGCGGTATTGCACCACCCCCGAGAGAACCTGGGAACTGGGAACCAACACCAGGGCTCTGCAGGCAGCAGAGGCTCAACCACGCTGCTGCTTTTCATGTTGCAGCTCCTGTTGTCTTGGAGCCACAGTCCTTGTGGGAGTTACAGCGATGGTTGTCCAGTTTCCCTGAGCACCAGCCAGTTTCCCCGGAGCCTCTGACTGAAGTAAAGGTCACTTAGAGCCTCCCGGCCCAGCCCTTCCTTTTTCACACCTGATAGTTCACTCCCGTGCAGGCACCTTTTCTCAGAGATCCCCGCGGACACGTCACAGTCACGGGCGTCCCAGGGGCCATGATAGAGGAGAGAAAAAGATCACCTGTTCTCAGAAACTAAGACACTGAAAAAGGAAATACTCACTGTCGCTCACTGAGAGCTTCTCATGCCAGTCCTTCACAAATTATCTCCAAGGCTCTCAACGCCCTTCCAGAATAGGGATTATCCCCATTTTCCAGGTAAT